TAAAAAAAAATTTTAAAAGCAGGAGGTGACTTTGCCTTTCCCTTTGTTAAGCAACTCGACTGTCTTGACTATGAAACAATGAACTAAAATAACAAGGGAGTCGATGAATAAATAAAATGCATTACAGATACAGATTTGGATCAAATTTTGGAATATGAAACAGATAAAAATGCAAGCACAGATTTACTGCATTTTTTTTTCCAATTGAGATGCTCCTTTTTTAGTAAAGTCCTTAAAACTTGCAATAAAGCCACCAAGTTGAATTCATAAGGAAATGCAAAGGGTTTCGAACAAGGAACCATCTTTGGCAAATATATTTTGAGAAATGCCATCTGCCCTCAGGCAGTGAGCCCAAATAGATGAGTAATATTCCCCACTACAGGGACAAATAAAATAGGACCCTGAGACCTGGGATGTTGACCAGGCCCTAAATCACTCACTCTCTGTTCTCACAATCATATATTTAGGATGCCACCTAAATGACTAGTTTTCAAGAATTTTAGTCTCAGGACTCATTTAATCTCTTAAAAATTATAAGACAGGCCCGAAACACTTCTTTTCATGCAGGTTATAGCTCATAATATACAATGTGAGAAATTAAAACAGAAAATCATTTAAAATGTTAATTCACGTCACATAATTGGATCCATTTTAAAATAAGTAACGTTTTGTGAATAACACTATCATGTGGAGAGTAGCATCTTTTTTACATTAATGCAAATCTCTGCAATTTCTCAAGAGAAGGCAGCTACATCCTGTATCTGCTTCTGCATTCTCCCTGGTGCAAGAGGTTGATTTATTTAAAGATATGAGGAAAAACCAGCCTTATGCAGATATGTAGTTTAGAAGCGTGGAACATTTTAGATTCTTTCTGACTGATGAAGGATCATCTCCCTGACTAGGATATCAGAATTCAAAAGTGGTAGTTTCTAAAATGTTTGTTGCAAGGCAGAATCTGCAACCTATCAAAATGAACTTTTTGTGTTCTGTGGCCTTAACACAAATTTACTTGTTATTTTTAACTTATGCATGATTTTGGAACAGCCCACGGTGGTCCTTTCAAAAAAAGTATTAATTCTATAGCTCTTCTCAGCGGAGACACATTTCATCCCAGCAGATCAAAAATTCACTCTTGTTCATCTCACCACTGATCCAATCAGAAAACTCATAAATGTGGGGGAAACTCAAGGTCATCGTGGAGAGCATAAGTTTTCCAGGATTCTAATTTTTGCTTGAACACTTCAATTTTATCATTGACATTCGACTGTGGGTTGTTTATCTTGAAGTGACAGGCTTCCTGGGTTCATTTGGAAGAAAATATGTGAGCCACCATAATTCACCTGTCAGTCATGCTTTCACGAGTAAAGGGCTCAAGGTCTCAGGCAATTGCCAGAGTCAAGAAAAAGACAGTCCTCACACTAGGGTTCGGCAGATCTATCTCACACCTGCTGCATGACCAGTGCATCCCAAAGTTATGACAGTGTAGTCAAGGATGGAGAGTTAGGGAAGTTTTAAGAATGCTTCGCAATTTCAGCAATTGCAGTGTCCAGCAGAGCTGCTCTGTTCTATATTTTGGAGGGGTTTGCTTTACTATGAGAATTCAGCCAGGAAGAAAACCTTGAGCACTATTTAGTGTGGTTTGGCGCTGAGGTCCGACTTGTTCCTCAGCAGCACTTTTCTACCTTTGCTTTTGCATCATGAATGCAAATGACATGAAGGACATTTCAAAACAAGTTGACTTCGTCGACCATCTGAAGGCATACTGGGACTGCCAAGGTCCACAAACCAAACCACACGTTAAGCACCAACAGTCAGCCTAGAATAATAACTGAATTCCCTTCCCAATCCCCAAATTATATTTCCTTTATTTTTATCTAATAAATCTGATAAGAGTGTTAATACTTTATGAATAATAACTAGGTTCAGTTATCAGTTGGAAATTCAGAAACATTTTAGCCATGCTCAAAAAAAAAAAAAAAAGAATCCATCTATTCATTGACATTTACTTTGTTTCTGATTGACAGTTATTTCTAAGTCTTGAGCTCACTGCAGATTTGTATTATTTAAATCTTATTAGCGTCATAAATGGGCAGAGAAGAAGCACAATGGTGAGAGTCCCTAAGACATCAGCTAATAATTTGAGAACAACTTGTTTATTATAACATTATTCTTTCTTAAATTTGCTAAGGTTGTAAAAGCTCAGCCATAACTAATTATTCAGGGAATGGAGCTAATAACCTTTGGGTATTTATATGAATATATATTCTCCATTATAAATCCTTTCCTCTATAATTAGGCCAATTACAGAGACACCAGATGCGTTGACATTCAAATTGGATACCTGCCTTCGACGCATTTAGCCGCGAGTGCTCTGGAGGACTGAAATAAACAGATACTATTCAGTTGCTCTGAAAACAAGCCATTAATATTTTATAACAATCGTCGTCGTCAAAGGACACCACAGCATGAAAATGAATAAGTCACCGAGACAACCAGATAAAAATGTGTGCGTGGATTAATACCAAATTTCACATCCTTCAACCCTGATCAGCAAGGGAGAAAAGAAGGAAGGAAAAGTTAGGTGTTAGAGAAAGGGATGGGGATCACTAATGTCGGTGGCACCTCCGCTGCTGGTACCTTGGCATCATCACGTGCTTCTAGAAAAGAATCTACGGAAGGGTGCTTCAGACTCTCAGCCAGAAGGTCTGCAAGTGGGCGAGTCCAGAGTGAAATTCCATGGATCTTACAAAGGCTGGAAGGTTTGCACTCAAAGTACACAGCACTTTAAATCTGTTTATCTATATGACAGGGAGTAAAATTCCTTAAGAAATGGGAATTGTGAAACAGAGGTTTAACCATCAGTTATACTTTTATTTATTTGTTTGTTTGTTTGTGGGGGGGGTGGTACCAGGGATAGAACTCAGGGGCACTCGACCACTGAGCCCCATCCCCAGCCCTGTTTTGTATTTTATTTAGAGACAGGGTCTCACTGAGTTGCTTAGGGCCTTGCTTAGTTGCTGAGGCTCTCTTTGAACTCATGATCCTCCTGCCTCAGCCTCCAGAGGCCACTGGGATTATAGGTGTGTACCACCGGGCCCAGCTAACCAACCATTATAAATAGTCGAGAAGGGATTCCCAGCTGGGGAAATGGAAGGGTACTGGGTGAGGCGAAGTCCCTCTCCATCAGATAATTTAAAACCAACCTCAGAAATGGTTTAAAAACACATTGTAGTATATAGGCAGAGAGTTGTTTTCTTTTCTCTCCATATAAAGTCTTCGTACTTCAAAAGGAAAAGTTGCAGTTCAATGTTAGCCCTTTTCTACATTTAGTGAATTTTATGAGGTTAGGACTGTTTCTCGAGAATTCAGATTATTCACAATGATCATGCCCAATGCCAAGATCCTAATAAACAGCCAATGCCTCTTATAACTCTCAGATTATATATAGAAGAGACAGAAGAAATCATCGTTGAACTATACCTTAAAAATTCCTCAACAACCTCTCAAGGATCTTTAATAGCCTGC